GAATAGTTCGACAAATGCACTTGGATCCCAGGTGTTTATAAATGGGCATACAATTGTAGATAAAATAATATATTCATATTAGGCAATCGATTTAAGACTGTTTTTGGTGCATTAAAATATATATATTTATTTGTCTGTTGCATCTGTCAAATTAAATATTTATTTAGATAAAATGAATGAAATCAATAAATAAGCTAATTTAATATGAATGATCCTTCTGTCAGGTTCTGCCACTAATTCGGGCAGAACCTGACAGAAGGATCATTCAAATTAAATTTGCTTATTTAAAACGTTAAGTAAGCTTAAAAAAACAAATGAAGGAGAGGAGCAGCAATCATGTAAATAAAATGCTTTAACCAAGCACTTAGTAGTACATACTGTGCCACTTTCTGGAAGTAGCCCACTGGAGGAATGACCTGCCCTCCGCAACTCTGCAGTGACTCAGCGATAAAAGCGGCAATCTACACAAAAAAAGATCCCATGAGTCCCTTGTAGCCTAGTGGTTATACATGCGAGGAGGAAGCATCCTTTTTAAAAGCTGCTTTAGATGACTATGACAGCCACTGCCATGAGCAGGAAACAAGAGCTGAAGAAAGCATAGAGTTCACAAAGAACCTCAGGAGGAAAAAGAAATATGAAGACATCATATCATTTTGACACAGCTGCCATGGTGTATGGGCAGTTTATTCATCGATCCTCACAGATTCATGTTAATTCTCATGTGTAAAGACCAATTATTTTTCCTGCAACAGAGGGTTTAGGGGCTCCCTTTGGGCCTCCAGGAGGCAAGAGTAATTCCCGTCTCAGCTCAACCTGGAGAGAAGAGAAACATCAACAGGTGGAGAGAGGAAATGTGGGGAGGGAAAAGGAAAGGATACAGTTTAAATAAATTAATAATGGAGAATTTAAGAGATCACACAAGAAACCAGAGAACTGAAAGATCCTATCAATGAATTTAAGGCAAGACACTACATGCTCTGGTCAATTTTGGGTTATTTGATTTTTTTATTACAAAAAGATTGAAAACATTTATGAAAGCATTTCTACAAACATTATTTAACAATTGACAGTATTTTTCTGATGTATGGATTGATAAAAAAA